TTATTTTTATATAATATATTAAATTTTCATTTAAAATTTATGTTTAAAAATAAAAAATAAAATAAATATTTTTTAATATTTAAAAGTTTGTAGGGCTATAACCTTGCCACTTTTCCCGTTAGCTTAACGAGAGTCAAATTTTGGGCCACAAAAAAACAACTCCATTGTCGGCCTAAAAAGATACTATTGGTTTGGGCCACTTTGGGACTTGAGGCCACACCTGGGCTTTCTTGAAGGAACTGCAGCCTCCAATATCAATTTGGCAATTAAGAATCAAAAAAAGGTAACCTTTTTTTAAAGAGGGAAAAAGAAGGCATCTTTACACATCAAAGCAGACGAATCAAGGGGAAAGGTGAGAAAGATGAACCCTTTGAGTTGAAAGCGCAATGGCAATAGTCTTTACTGTTTAGCCCAGTTTACAGACGAAAGCAAGTATAAAATATCAAATGAGAAATAGGTGGAGAGAGCATCAAAGGTGCAAACTTTGAGCAATGGAATTGGATGAATGGGAGCTGACTGCGGAAGAACTGGATTCCCTTGAACGAGATGCTCTCCAGAAGATTGCTCAGCAACGGGTCTCCACTTCTTCTAATCAGAACCAGCAGCCGCAGCCTACGCCACACCAATCTTTTCCTTCTTCTGTTGGCAACAATTACAGCAGCAACAGACCAAACCCTTCTTCTTCATCCTCATTGGTAACAATTTGAACCCTTTTCTCCTTTTCCCATTTCATTTTATAGTTTATACCTTGGCTTTTGATTTCCCATTTATATGTTCTCTTACTATGCTAAATGTATCTGCTTACCCTTATTTTTTCTCTTTCTGTTTGTTTCATTTTTGGACATTCAAATCGTTTTGCTACTTGCAGGCCATCAATGTCTAATTCATATGTTTGAACTTCATCATTAACCTCAACTAATTGCCATTAAATTCATCAACTTCCCACAGTTACATTAAATGGACTATGAGTTTCATACTAGAATTTTATTTTCTGGGTCTTTCTAATCTTTCTACATTATGATTTAGGCAGAATGTTCACCCAGGAAATTGCCCTCTTCAATTATGCCTAAAGCAAACACTGGTTAGTTATTTTAATCAGCCACTTTGTGCTTTCAGTTTAGTTCTTATAGATATGCACTGTTTCCAATCAACCTTCTGCTCTTACGTGCATATGATGTCCCTTTTTGTCCTTAGAAGATGATTGTTCCAAGAATCAGCAAAAGTTTTCCGTCAAATTTTTTCTTCATGCCACGGGAAACATGGCTGCAAAATTTCCATATAATCCAGTATGAATTCCATCTGCTCATAGCATGTTCATTTACATGGGTTGCAGAAGATTTGGTCTTGTCTTTTTGTCCACTAAGCTTTTATCTTTATCCAGGTGGTAGTGGGTGCTTTTCGAAATATCCCTAAAGCCACTTGGAATGCAAAAGAAAGGTCTTCTTCCCTTCCTCTCTCCCTCACAGTGACAGCATAAACATTTGCATTTTTGAACATTTTATGGTGCTCTAAACACCCTTCAACCTGCAGGTTATGGGTGTTCCCTTTATCTTCATTATCAACAGCAGAAAAAGTTCTCAGTGAAATCTCTGATTTTAAAGTTGAGGTTGTAAACTTGTAATGTTGTGTTTTTATGTACATTTATGAATATACAATCTTTTTTCTATACCTTAAAGTTGACATTAATGTAACTTGAATTAGTTGTAATGTTATCAAGGTAGAGAACTTATATTCATTGGTGCATCATGCGATTCTTGCTGCCTCTGCAGTTCCAGATCTTCAAGGTAAATTTGGCTTCCTTAATACTGCTTCTAATAGATGTTTTGGTGATCACCTTTGCCTGGATAACAATCAATTCTCATACTTTTTCCTTGTCTAGTGTTATTGGTTAGCATGCAGCTTCTTCCATTCCTCTCTCCTCTGATACTTTGCTTTCTTCTCTATCTTGTTTACTAGACCGGTATGACAGGATCCCCAACTGCATTGAATCAAAGCTTCTCCCATTTCAACGAGATGGTATTAGGTATAACCATGAAGACTTCTTTCTTTAGAGGGTTGTTATATGAAGTCAAGTAATATTCTTTTTTTTATCAAAGAATTAAATCTTTTTTTTATCAATTGATTTATCTTAATTTTACAATGCATTACCTTTCAAAAATAAAAAATAAAAAATAAAAAACAATGCATTGATATATTATCAATTTTCTTTTCCTCAGATTTATCCTGCAGCATGGAGGTCGTGCACTTCTAGCAGATGAAATGGGGCTAGGAAAAACTTTACAGGTAACTGATTATTGATTTAAACTGTTTTTGTTCTTTAAGTGTCTAATATGTCCAGGTCCATACTGCATCATCACCTATTTCTGTTTTACAATGGTCTTCTTTTGTTAAGTTTCCATGTTAAATCCTTTTGTTCTGACAGGCTATAGCTGTAACTACTTGTATTCGTGATTCTTGGCCTGTGCTAATACTTACCCCGTCTTCTTTGCGTTTGCACTGGGCTTCAGTAAGCCTCTTGTCCTCATATTTTGACTTGTAATAAGATTTCTTTTTTGAAGAAAAAAATAATGTATGCACTTGGTTGCTGTTCTCAGATGATACAACAATGGCTGAACATTCCTCCATCAGATATAGTGGTATGTTAAGTGTGTTCCTTTTCTTGATCTTCTTGTTCCTTTTTTAGGCATGACTCATGAAAGAAATATCATACCTAGTTTTCTTTCCCCATCCCAACTCTGCCTGCTCCCTCCCCCTTGGAAAAGAAAGGGGAAAAATAAATTGTTACACTCTAAAATGTTAATGCATGTAGGTTGTTTTGTCTCAATCAGTTGGATCAAACAGAGGTGGATTCACAATAGTATCCTCAAGTAGTAAGCGCTGTATTCATCTTGATGGCTTGTTCAACATTGTCTCTTATGACTCAGTCCCTAAGTTGCAAGATGTTTTAATGGCATCAGAGTTTAAGGCAAGTACTACCAAACTGATCATAAAGCTTATAATGATATAATCACCTATCATATTCTTTTTATACCGGTATCTTTTCCAACTGAATTTCCAAGTTCAAAAAGGATTTAATTTTGTATTTAATGGTATTTGGTTTGTTGTAAACAATAAAAGTAAAATAAATCATGGGCAAATCTATTGTATTACAAGAATATGACATTATGACCCACTTTTTAGGTTAGAGATTTCATTTTACGGGCATGAATATTTGTTTATACACCTGTGAATGAACCTTATATTCTATCTATTCTGTTTTCTCATCGGGCTCCATATGCTTCTAGTAATGGTTTCTTTATATAGGTTGTTATTGCAGATGAGTCTCACTTTCTCAAAAATGCTCAAGCAAAGAGGACATCTGCTTCTGTTCCAGTTATAAAGGTTCTTCCTGGCATGATGATGATGAATGATTGTTAAAATCTTCTCTATTGTTCTTACTTCACATTCTTGTTGGAATATATTGTAAATCATGTAGTTTGCTAAAGAAATGGTTCCCTCAATTATACAGATATGTGGCCACTTACTGTTATAGATGTTTGAGTTTTCTAGAATGCTTGAATAGGGAGGTTAACAGTGGTTGTATTGGATATTTAATGTTCTTATATTTCATGCTTTAAAAAAAATGGCATACCATTCCTTTGCAGTTTGCATAACTAAAACTAGACTGCTGAATGCCAAGCATGTAGGCATAGCACCACTTGTTTGAGCCTTTTAGGAGGACAAACAGTTTTGTGTGCCCATGTTCTCTGTTGGATTTGTCTGATTGTATATTTATGTCCTAGAGGTTGAATTTTGATAGATCTGTTACTGCATCATTAAAATGACTTACTGTGTCATTCTTTTCTTTGATTTTGGTTGAAATTTCAGAAAGCCAAATATGCAATACTTCTTACTGGAACACCTGCTTTGTCCCGACCGATTGAGCTGTTCAAGCAGGTGCTTATAGATGCTAGCTGAGAAATAATGTTTAAAGCATTCAAGCTTTCAGGAGTTGTATTGTAATGATTCTGTGGAAAATCTTTGTACTTGACAGCTGGAAGCCTTGTATCCTGATGTGTATAAGAAAGTTTATGAATACGGTGAACGATATTGCAAAGGCGTAAGTTCTTTTGAGGTTTAAAGATAAGCAATATCAATTATGATTGTTGATATAGCATTAGGTTATGCCAATTTTCTTTGCTTGTACCATTCTTGCAGGGAATATTTGGAATTTATCAAGGAGCAAGTAACCATGAAGAGTTGCACAATTTGATGAAGGCAACAGTTATGATCCGCAGACTCAAAAAGGATGTTCTTTCTCAGCTTCCTGTGAAGCGTAGGCAACAGGTAGTACCATATTTCATATCTAACCTGCTTCTTTGCCTGTTGCTGGTCTCCACTCAACTGAAGTAAAATCTTAATTTATATTTTTTAAATTGAAGAAATGTTGCTCTTTGCTGCATTATTTGCCTTATATGATATTCTAAATGGAATGTACACTGTGATTTGTGGTGTTAAAAGTTAAAACCATCAATTTTTTCATCAGAATGCAATGTGTCATGTTGAAATAAAGCAGAGGTTCTGCTGCTGACAAATTTTACAAAACCAGTGGAGTGTTTACTTATTCTTGTGTGTAATACCTTACATTTTTATTTCTAATTTCCATGTAGGGAGCATGTATACACATTAAATGGATATCAGTGTATGCGTGTGCATGTGCATACAACTATCTAATGTGTAGCATGAAAATTTTAAACGTGGTTGATTCATTTATTATCCAGTTTGCACTTATAGTTTGAAGTAATTCTCAGGTCTTCCTAGATTTGGCTGAAAAGGATATGAAACAGATCAATGCTTTGTTTCGTGAGGTAAGCGGACTGGTTCAAAGATGTTTTTTCCATTTGAACTTTTACCTTTAGAACTTCCTTTGAATCAGCAATGGAGTTTCAACTTCTAATAACTATGAAATTAAATTTGTTCTTAACTTGTATATATGTATACATATAGGTGGCATGATATATTGCTGTTGTTACAGATGATGAATCCCTTATTTCATCTATCACCAATAATTCAATTATAGGCATTTCCTGTCACGTTGTTGCATAGATAATGATGTCTCTTGTGTGTATGTCTGTATGGACTTCATTTTCTTATTTAATTATATGACTCTTGTATTCTATTGTCTCATTGCACTTGGCATTTATTTGCATGGGGTGTGAGATATTTTTCTTTGTTCTATGAAAGATTCAGACAGAAGAAATACCCCTAATGTCAGTTTTTCACTTTGTAGTTGGAGGTGGTAAAAGGCAAAATTAAGGCCTGCCAATCAGAAGAAGAAGTGAAAGCACTTAAACTTGTTGAGAAGAATCTTATAAATAAGGTATTTAATGAATGTTATAGACATTCATTTTGATGTTCTAGTCCATAGTATTTGCAAAATATTTTTGCTTAAATATTTAGCTCTTTGTAATTGAATTACTTGTGGTATAATAATCTTAACTTTGGCTTTCCTTTAGATTTATACTGAATCTGCAGAAGCCAAGATCCCATCAGTTCTGGATTTTCTAGGAACAATGGTTGAGGTATTTTTCTGCCTGCTCCATTTTTACATTACTTTTGGTTTTCTTTCTGTGTAAAATTTTCTGCTTTCTGGCCTTTACCTCTATAAAAATTTCAATATATTGATTACCGCAGGCAGGCTGCAAATTTCTAGTATTTGGACATCATCAACCCATGATTCATTCAATACATCAATTTCTCCTTGTAAGACCCCTTTGATTTGTTGGGACTTTGTAAAAGATTAATAATTTCTTACAGAATTTCTGTAAACTTCCAGAAGAAGAAAGTCGGTTGCATTCGTATTGATGGTTCTACACCTGCATCCTCCAGGCAAGCTTTGGTTACTGATTTTCAGGAGAAAGATACTATCAAGGCAGCAGTTGTATGGAAACTTTTGCTTCATATAGTTTTGCCAATTTTTTCTGTGCCATCCAATTGATAAATTGGATATATTTTAATATTGGTGCAGAAGATTTGATTTAAGTCCTAGTACTTACAAATGTTGTTTGCAGCTATCCATCAAAGCTGGAGGAGTGGGTTTAACTTTGACAGCAGCAAGCACTGTTGTCTTTGCAGAGTTATCTTGGACTCCAGGCGACCTGATTCAAGCTGAAGATCGCGCTCATAGGATTGGCCAGGTAGACCTCAGCCAAAAGAAATTGTCTTTCTTGAATATCATTTCCATAGAACTGCACAATATATATATATATATATATATCTTGATTACTGCAAATTATCTCATTCATGAAGAATCTGTTTTTGACTATTGTACTGTTTGTATGTGCTTACTTTCATTTTACCATCTACCGAGCTAAGCTTTCTCAATATGTTGAGAAACCGTGGCTTGATTTTTGCCTTTTTGGATAGTTAGTGAAGTATTTTTCTAGCAATATTACTTGCAAAGCCGCTATTCCCAACTTGTGATTTATATCCATGGTCGCTTCTCTAAACATGAGATGATAGATTTTCTTGCTAGATAATTATGTACTCACTGCTCAATAGCCTTTGTGTCCACTGTCCAGTCTCGTAACACGTTTGATTCATTTTCTTAGGTCTCATCTGTAAACGTATACTACCTGCTAGCAAATGACACGGTCGATGATATAATATGGTACACTCATGCAATCCCATTTCAAATCATCTTTGGTTTCAGAATTACTTTATCATAGACAAAGCATTCGACATTAATTACCATGTTAATGATGAAAAGGCCAGTCATTGAGCTTTGTCTTTTCTTTATTCTTCAGGGATGTTGTTCAGAGCAAGTTGGAAAATTTGGGACAGGTAGCTCTCTCTCTTAAAGTAGTAAATAATGAGTTTGCAAGCAATAGATGCCAACAGTGTACAACAGAGCATTTCCAGTGTTCTGCTTTACTTATTTGCATTGAGAGGCTGAGTAAAGGTCCCTGTTATTTAATTCCTTTTGGTTGGTTAACTGAACTCTAATCATTGACTATTAGATGCTTGATGGCCATGAGAATGCCCTGGAAGTTTCAGCCAGCCAAAAACATTGCAGTCCAGCAAAGCCAAAAACCTCGGCCAGCCAAAACCAATTCAGTCCAGCAAAGCGGAAAAACACAGCCAGCCAAGAGCAATGCAGTCCATTAAAGCAGACAACTCTTGATTGTTTCATGAAGCGTTGTAACAACTGATGATGAAGACCAGGGTAAGCTCAAACACCCCAGGCACTGAGCCACATATCCACAAAGTAGTGTACTAACAAGCATAGCAAAGCTATGACATGTACAGTCAGATGTAAGTTTCAACATTTGGAAACGCTGTGAACATATTTGATCAGTTAATGAGCACTCTGTAATCATTATAATATCATGAAATTGAGGTTTGTGCTCCCCCGTGTATCCTCTGTTCCATAGTTGGAGTTGATACAAATACGTTTATTAACCTGTGATTGATGCTTTTGGTGGTCTGTAGGTAAAGGGATCCTCCCAATTAAAGGATAACACTCATGAGGAATATTCATGAAATACTCAGTAAACTCGATCATGGCCGTGGGATTTTAGTGGAAATTTTTTCAATCATTTAGAATTCAGCATCACTGACAAATATTCCTGGCGGCGATGTTGCCATGTCTCTATTGTTTTAACTGCCATATCTCAAGCTCGAGTTTGACAATAATATTTATGTAAACATTTGGTTTTAATCTTAGTCTAAGTGTCATTATAACTTGTGCTATAGGCTATGTTCTTTTAGCCTTATGTACCACTTATATGGCAACAGATACTTTGTAATTCTTACATTATTAATATTTCATTGGTTTTAACAAAAAAACAAACAAACCAACCAAACAAAGAAAGTTGGGAAAGGAAGAAATGCTATCAGGTATTCCCTAACAGCTGAACTAACCAGGGCCAACGCTAGTAACAATAACCGTTTGATGTTGTAACCAAAGGCAAATACTAAGATGCAGGGCTCAATTCCAAGGCTTCCCCGTCTTTGCCAAACAGATTGGCCACGATAACTTGCACATCCTCCAAGCCAACCCCAAGGCACAAAGGATTATTAGCCATAGACCTAACAGAAACATCCGTTTCCTCATTCTCAATCCCATCAATAGAATTCAAGACCCTAACATTAGGACCATCTCTGCACTTCCCCAAACACTTGCACCCAACAACAGCTCCCTCAACACCTACTACCCTCTCAAATTCCTGCAACAATGCTGCTCCTCCTGATTTGCTGCATTTCTTACCCATACACACTTCAATCCTCTTCATCGATGCTCCTCTCACTGATCTACTCCCTTCATCATAACTAACACCACTGCCATTGCTGCAGCTGCTAGCACTTGGTCCAGCAGTCCAGCATTGGCCTTCATAATTTCGATGACTGCCATCTTCAAAACCACTTTCCTTGGTCACACTTTCTTCTTGAGGCAGTAAAATTGGAAGGATTGATGTGGTTGCAGCTTCAATGACAGGTATGGATTCATCCAGCACTGGCTGTGCAATGGATTCTTCGTTTCTAAGTTGACTCATGTCAATTACCTCGCTACATTCACCATCACTTGATTCAGATGATGATGATGATGATGATGATTCACATACAACCATGGTTTTCTTCCTTTCCTCTTTTAACTTAGCCCTCTCCTCTTTCCTTTTCCTCTTCAATTCCTTCTCCTCCGCTTTCAACTGTTCTAGCTGATTCAGTAATACCTCTGTTGCTTCCTGTAAAAACAAAGCAAAGGGAACCTTCAATACAAAATTCCATATAAACAGCTGCTTCTCTCTATTCAAATAAATGTTTTACATTGAATATAAAACCATACTGCAAATTCCATAATTCTCTCTACCTGAATAAAATCCAAAATTCATTCACTCAAAAAAAAAAAAAAAAAACTGGAAATTTGACAAAAACCCAAATTCAGAACGGAGAAATGGCAAAGCAGAGGAAATTAGGAGAAGACAATGGTACCTTAACAATCTTGCCCTTATCTTCACGGACCAAACTGCTTTGAATCTGAGGATCTTCAGCAAATCCCAAATTCGAAAACATAGACAAGTCCTTGGACAACCCTTTTAACAGCTTCAACTTCCTCTTAATCTCCTTCTTTTCCCCACACCTCGACGACCCATTGTAATACATCATGTGCCCTTTATCCCTGAATCCATCGCTACGCAATTTGACCTTCCCCGAAAAGGACAAAGTTTCAAACTTTAAAGAAGAAGAGGATGAGGAAGAAAAAGAAGAACGGCTATGGCTATCCACTACAGAGCCGGATACGCAGAGGATCTGCCGCAGAACGACGCGGGAGGCCTCCATCGCAATCGACCCCAAAGAAGCTTTTGCAGTCTTACTTCTCAAATCTGTGGCAACAAAAGCTATAGAAGCCTTTTCCCTTGAAGGATTCTGGTTTCTGGATTCCGGAGCGGCTGCGCCGTCTTAACGGAGGAGAAGGAAACAAGGAGGCCGGTTTCAACTATTTTGGCTACGTGGACATTTCTTATTGGGTTTTGGTGATATGGCGGTTGCAAGTTGGCTCACCGGGAGGGCACGCGTCTCAGCATGTCCGGCATGCGAAGGAGTTGAATGATACCCGTTGGATATTTTTGAATGGAAATCAACGGTTGAGATGGAGCCAAGTGGTGCCACGTAAGAAAACACGTCATCCATAATTGACACGTCTGCCTGTTCCTTTGCTGATTAAGCAAGACAAGTAAATAAATAAACAAAAGGATAATTAGATTTTGACCATTGGATGGATTGTCTCTTTTTGAATGTTTGTTATGGGGGACCTGTCATACGGCCGTCTGTGAGTACTCAACAATATAACGTACACTATGTACCAAAAAAAAACATATAACATACACTACCATTAAGAAATAATATTATGCAGTTTTAACCAATAACTTATTAATTTGTTGGTTCAAGTTAAAAAATTTCACTTTTTATGGGCTTAATGTGATTCAATTTAATTTTAAATTAATTAAAATTCAATATATATTTTTAGATACAAAAAAATTAATATTAAAAAATAATTACACTTGCCCGAAGGTTTCCTTGGGACGTGTTCGAACCAATCCCATGATACATTGTTAAAAAAAAATACTAAAAAATAATTATATAGTTTAAACTATATAATAAAAATAATTAAATAAAGAATAAATATATTAATATTGAGATCACTCTCTCTATTTATTCAATCATCATTATTTATAATAAGATATAATTTAAATTATAAAAAAAAAGTCATACAAAATACATTTTTTTCGAAATAAAAAAGTGACCCAAAAAGATTGTTAGAAGAATATAAAAATTAATTAATTAATTATACAAATTGAAAAATAATTTATTCGACCACTTGGGTTTTCTCATGGGTTCTATTGTGGGTACCAGTTCTTAAAACTATAGATACTCTTTATACATTGCTTGAATCTCAATCTTCTTCCCCAGCCAGATGTACTGCAGCTTTGAAATGGGTTACATTGAAACAAACAAGAAACAAAACAAATGATGATCATAACTAATTCTAAAGGAAAACCTAAACCTGGATGATGTAACAGATTGTTATGTAGCTTTCATGATAATGGTATGCCAGTCAACAATTCTTTGGATCCTACGAGATGACTCGGGACGCGCTGCCTGATCTCTTCAAAGGCACACAACGTTTCTGAATCAAGTCCTCCTGCAAACTGAACAGACAACCTCATATCTATCAGGAAACTAATTTGTTAGGAAGGGAAGTTGTCAACAGCAGAATGAAGATTGTTACCTGGTGAGCCCTATATGCAAAATGCATGCCTTGAAGCAGCAGAGCTTCTTGAGTAGATTCTCTATCTGACCTGCGGGCAAATTCAAGTTCTGTCGCCACTCTCTTTATGTACATTGTGGCTAGTTTCATAGCACCATGTTTTATCTGCAAAATTACTTACTCTTGAGCAGCAATTGTACCATAACCTGAGAAAATGAACATATACGAGTTACCGTTATATGAATACAGAAATAGCTTACCCTGCTCATACTTCCTGAATCAAGCATCCAGTCAACTGGAATCTTCCAATCCTGATAAGAACGCATGACTGAATTTCTCAGTTTGATTAGCCTCTTTGTGCTCTGCTCAGACCTTGCACAATGACATGTTAAGTCAATTATGCTGTCTAAAATTGACAGACTTTATAATTAGTAATTCATACTGTCTGTTCTTACTTGTCCAGTAACCCAGCCATCTTCTTCAATGCAACTCCACAGGGAACGCTAGGTTCATCCATATAGGAAGAAATCTCATGTTCTAACATTTTGAGATCACGGTACTCAACAGCAGCTTCTCTCATGGCATCAGCTTTTCTCTCTGGCCACTTAAAATGCTTTAGCACAGCCCTCTCATCAGCCTGTTGCAACAGAAAAGACATGCAAATACAGATTGATTAATGTGCATAGCCAACATACAACCTAAATCAAGAGTGCGTATCCTGATATGTCTGACATTTTGAACTGAGAGCATTGGTCAATCAAATAACTGAGAAAGATTTAGAACTTACCAAAGATGAGAGTTCATTGTCAAGCCAATCCACAAACTTCAGGACATCCTCTATATCTGTATAAGCAGCATCCAAGACTTTTTGGATGAGACTGTTGATGAATTCTCCTTTTGTTTCAATATCCGCTTTAATCTAGATAAAGCCAATTAGTTTGCAACAATTGAATCATCAGAGACAGAAATAGAAGTATTAATCATGCAACTCCATGGCTAAAATTCAAAATAATAAATCCTTACAGCTAGCAGATGAGCTGAACGGTTCTGAATTTCACCAACTATGCTACTGTGTACACTAGTGACCATTGGTTTATTGTGATTCCCTGCTGCTGGAGGGTCATTCTTGCATACTTGCTTTGTTAGAGGGTGGTGTAATTGTACAGGTGAAGGAGCCTTCACAGTGGGAGCAACTCTGGCTGGGAGACAAACGGGAGGTGGTGGAGGAGGTGGCGGGAAAGAGGAAATTGAAGCTGCATACTTCTCCTTAGCAGCAGATTTCATAATCGAGCAAGCCATCCCCGGTGGTGGCATCTCAACTGGTTTTGCCACTGCCACTTGAATTGCTTCCCTTCTGAATTTTGGCTGTTCTAATTTGTTAGCAATGAGTTTCTGAATGTCCCTGAATTTAGGGCTCTGGTACTCCCCTCCACTTGACTCGCTCTTCATTCAAAAAACACATCGGAAATTGTAAGAATGTCCATAAGACCATAATCTAACAGACTAAATATCCCTATTACATTCTAACATTAAACACAAGATTCAAGAAATACAGAAGAACTTCTTTTTGATTCATTTCATTCCTAATTCTACTGGTCATTCAAACGGAATACATTTCTGCATGAGCAATAAGAAAATCAAGTTAAATAGCTAAAAACGCAATCTTGATTGATATTCATACCTTCTCACGGCTTTCGACAGCTGTTATCTTGGCTTCAGCAGCTGCAAGGTTGTCAGCAAGCTTCCTATTAGTGGCCTCCAACTCCATATTCAAGCTCTGTGCCTTATCCAACTCTGCCTTCAGAGACAAAACCTCACACTGCAAATCTTTAACCAAAGCTTCAGTCAACTCGAGCTTCTCTACCAACTCCTTCCTCTTCTCCTTCTCGGCCTTACCTTCATCACCCTTCCGTTGAGCACCGACAGTTGACGACCGCCTAGGCCGCGAGAACTGCTCCACCCCTCTAAAATCCTCCCCGCTTCCCTTATGAGATCCCACAACCTGCAGCTGCTCACCGTACTTAGACTTATTCACCCCCAGAGGCCTCCTCACGGTTTTCCCACTGTCCTTAACTTCCGAAGCCACCGTCTTGAGTCTTCCCTCCGGTCTCGGCAACTCCTTAGAATTTCTCCCCTTATACCGAGATGGGGTCGAGGCATTCGCCGACATGAGCACTGGTTTTCGCTCGGGTTTCACCGTTACCGGCGTTTCCAACTGCTCCATGAAGAAAGAAAGGTTAAAGGAACAGACTTTGAGTCAGAAGAATATGGGAAACCCGTGAGAAAAGCCAGTTTATCAAATTCTGCCACAGGAAAACTACACTTTGATTGCTCCTCTTCCTCACATCAATATATAGTACTAATTAAACAGTTAATGGGGGCAAAATGGAAATCCCCTGAGTTTGGATTCACACAGGTTTGTTTCAGTTTTGAACGTTTGAGACCCACCGGAGAAAGACCAAACATCTGTGTACAGAAAGAAACGATTCCATTGCGGTTCTCTTTGTCTTTAGTCTTTACCTGTTCTTAGAATTTTAATTTTAATATTTTATTTCCTCCTTGGAATTTCTGTCCTCCTTCTGCACATCATCACAGCCGTTCATTTCAATCACCATCCTTGTTTTCTCCCCTGTCTGGTTCTGGGTGGAGTGAAAGTTGCAATCTTTTTCCCTTAAAATTAAACCAAGAAAAACTAAACTACACATTTTATATTATTGAATTGATTGATAAATATATCGGTTTATGTCTCATTTAATATGATTTAAATTATGCACTTCATATTGTTGGGACTCTTAAATTAATATTTGCATTAAGTTCAACCCGCTAATTGAAAGCAAAGAAAGAGATATTGGGATTAAAAACATTGTCTTGAATTGTCTGGACACAACAACTGCATAAAAAGAACATATTTTTTTATATTTTATTTTGTAATGGGGTCCTTGATAGAGGTATTGGAGGTATTGGGGTTATTGTATATGATAATGATCTAATCATGGAATATATGGGACCATTAATGTAGAGATAAAGTAAAAGCAGATATGTGAAGATGAAACCAATCTGAAAATGACTCGACTAATGATTATAAATCCCATTTACAGTGTGAAAGATACGATCTTTATGATATGCATTAAAGGATGACATCTCCAAGCGTATATCCGAATCATACTCCATTATAGATTTTGGTTCAGAGTTACGTTAAAGTAATTAGGTTTCTATGGTTGGTGTAATGTGTTTTGTCTCCCATTCTGTGTTTCAAGAAAATGGAATTAGGGTTTTCTTTAGTTGGTAATGCATCGAAGTTCCAAAAAAAATTAGTGAAATGTGAATTTAATGGTACTAATGGGTAATTGACATTGTCTTTGTCTCTCTCCCGAGAGAAAGCCATGGAAGAGAACCAAAAAAAAAAAGAATCAAACAGATATTTTCTTAGGAAGAAAAAGGGGAGAAAATGACCTTTTGCTTTGAATACCTTATTTGGAATTGAGAATGGAACTTTGCGGCCAAATTCCAAGTTTTCTTTTACCCTGATAATAACCCAATTGATGGATATTTAACTGTGTCAAATTCAGGTGAATATAGCAATGAAGAAAGGAGGCCACATAGTCCTAAAAAGCCAGATAAGATTGTAGTTAAACCCCAGATGTTTAGACCCAAACACTGGCATAAAAAGACCCAAAAGCTATCCTTTGACACATTTTGCTAAGATCAAATATTTTGTCGGTTCCATCAAAAGTGACCTTTTTCAACTTTAGTGAGAAATGGGATCCTTGATTTTGTAGTAAAGTGGAGGATAATGTTCCAATGGTAGCTTTTTTCTTTGGTTTTTCAGATTTGGATTGCAAAAAAGTTGGCTTTTTCTTTATTTTCTCTGTTTACACATCTCTGGATTTCACCAGTTGATTGAAACAAGGGCTGCTCGAACGGATCCAGACGAGGAGGAGTAAGTGTTACAAGAGGGACCATTAAGATTGATCATGATGTATATGGGGACAATCCAAAATTGCATTAGTTAGCAATTGGCTCACCCGTGAAACCCAAATGAATTAAGACATGTGATTCTGAACTGTTACCTTCCATGCTGAGGAACAATTTGAGAATATGTTGCATAAGACTACCAGATGACTGAACAAATACCAGAAAGAATATGCAGATAGAAAGGAACAAATTAAAAGGTACCTGAAAGTAAGAATTCAATATTTTTTATCGTCTTTGGACCTGCCATGGAAGAACACATGCATCATGCCGCATATTGTCTGCAAAATACTCGGAACTTTACGCAATGAGACACAGAAAAGAGGGATATATATGTACCTTTAAGGAACTGGTATCCTGTGTGAATAGGGAATTAACTGATAAACTTCAAAATAGGAAATGGAAGGGGTTTTCCTTTGAAGGGATACATGAAATATAAAAGGTTGTGACTTTTGAGGATTTCCTTTTTGTTAGTTGCAATTTCCCATCATATTAAGTGTCATCTGTTGTTTTGGTGGTGATTTTAAGGAATACCCAAGTCTTTTGTTTACTTGCATAGTTTGATGTTAATTTGAAGAACTGCGTAAGAGGTGTGGACTCAAATACTATCCAAATTCTTCTTGCTCTTTGAAAAGTCATTAACCATTTCTGGGTTACATTTGTAGTAGTGTGGCTATAAATCCACTGAATTAACATCATATTAGTTTTGATTGATTATGCAGGTTACCAATATCTTGAGCATAACATCATCCAATTGACCTACAATGATGATATTGAGTAAAATATACTTATGTCCTCAAAAGCAATTGACAAATTTTTTGGTGGGAACCTTAAACATATACAAAAGTGCTCAAGAAATGGGGGCATGATTTTGGTGGGGAAAAGTTGGGTGTGTATTCTTTTCCCACTGTTGTTTTCTCTTTTAGATCCCATTTCCATTTTTTGCCTCACTTTTTCTTTCTTTTTGACCGTCCCATACTGTCCCATAAAGAAAAGATATGATCTTGGCACTACAATTTTTAAGGTTTCTAAATAGGTAGTGTGTCATATCAGGGATGGACCCTTTCATAACCATCCCAAATAAAGTGTATTTTATTCTAGGAAAAGTTTTAGTACAAGTCTTGAGAGTTATTTCCAAAAGATATTGGCATAAAGAAGATGAGAATGGATATAATGTTGGGCCAAGAAAGCAGACCATAGCACATTTATGGGTATCCGTACTATTAGGCAGTCAAATTTCCCTTGTTTTATATGAGAAAAAAAGAGAGAATTAAAAAACGATGGCTGTTGAGAGGGCTTTTTAGATGTTGAGGCACCAACAATTCATCCGACTTGCCAACCTTCCAATATAGGAAATCAAAACGATAATAGTCCTAATAAATGACAACGGACCTTTAGGTCAATAAAACGGTTATAATATCTCAAACCTAATTGCTTATGGCACACTTAAGTCTAATTGTTACTGTGCAGATTTCATCAGTCCTGAACACTCACAAAATCAATCAATCATTTTATTTGCAGCAGTTTGATTCATATTACTGTGCACATCAGGAAAATGGGGAGTCTTTACTTTCTTTTTGCCAGTACATTAGCTTGCCTGTTACATTTGAGCAGGATCTAGAAAGTAAAAGGCATGAGATCCTGGATGTGAAGAAGAGCAGAATAAGCTCACTGAGATGAAGCAGTGGTGTGCAATGCTACCAAGGAAGCATAAATGCCATCTTTTTTATTCATTAGTGCTTCATGTTTACCTTTCTCTGCAATGACACCATTTTTTACCACCGCGATGAAATTTGCTCCCTTGATGGTAGATAAACGGTGTGCCACCACCACCGTGGTTTTGTCTACCATGACTCTATCCAATGCACCTTGAACAAGCTTTTCAGATTCCACATCAAGAGCACTTGTAGCCTCATCTAGTAGTAGTATTTTTGGAGCCTTCATGATAGCCCGTGCAATTGCCACCCTCTGCTTCTGTCCCCCTGACAGTTGGATCCCTCGCTCCCCTGCTAGTGTGTCATACCCCTGAACATGCCAAACACTCAAGGTTAGTTTCAGAAGCACTTATATTTTTTTAACCCATAATTTAATCAATTTCAGGAGTTACCAACAACTAGAAAAATGCATTTTAGCAGTCTATTCACCTGTTGTAAGCTGCTAATGAATTTGTGGGCATTTGCCAATTCTGCTGCTGCGATAATTTCTGTTTCTGTTGCATTTCCTTCTTTTCCATACGCAATATTGGCCTTGATGGTGTCATTAAACAGAACAGGCTCCTGGCTCACCAGTCCCATTTGCTGCCTTAACCAGTTTAGCTGTAGCTTCTGGATTTCTACTCCATCAAGTGTGATCTGACCGGAATCAGGATCATAGAATCTCTGCAACAATGATATCACTGTTGATTTTCCACTCCCACTTTCTCCAACAAGAGCAACTGTCTGAAAAAGGTAATTAAATATGCCAGTTCATAAGATGCTATGAGAAATAGTTTCTTACCAGCGCAGGCCAAGTATCAGTCAAAGAAATGATCTTACCTTGCCAGAATGAATAGTTAGGCAGAGGTCCCGGAAAATTTGTATGTCAGGCCTTGTAGGGTACTTAAAACTGACATTCTTAATCTCAATTTCTCCTTTGAGCTTTTCTATTATTTCTCCAGAGTTATCACTAGAGTTTATTTTAGACTTCCTGTCAAGAATTGCAAATACAGAAGCAGCAGCACTACTTGTTTTACCAGCATCAGGAACAAAGGAACCTGATTGAGAAATTCCATAGATAGCAGTGATAAGGGAGAAAAACACCTGCAAGCCAGGAGAGTAGCAATTACTTCAGTTACTACCCACCTATTAAAACAAGAAGTGTAAATGACTGATTACTTGCTTCACAAGGCAAAAAAGAAACTTACACGAAAGACTTCGGAATATGTTATCTCCCCAGCTTGAAGAAGTCTTGCCCCTGCATAAAAGCTAAGAGCATAGGCACAATAGAGTAATAAGAACGATGCCCCAAAACCTAAACCACCTACTAACCCTTGCTTCATTGCATTCTTCATAGGACCTGCACATTTTTTCTGATACAGTTCCATTACTTTATCTTCAGCACAGAAAGAAGCAATTGTTCTGATACTTCCAACTGCATCACTAGCAACTTGAGTTGCTCCCTCAAATATTTTCTACAGCAGTTTACAATTATTACAAATAAGCAATATTTTTCCCTAGAGAAAAAAAAAAAGAAAAAAAGTTAGACTCATATTTAGGGTTAGTTTTGGAGCAAACCTTAGCATCGGCACTGAAACCTTTGATGAAGAGCATTTGAACATATCCATTAAGTCCTATCATAGGTATCATCACAAGCATTATGAGAGACAATTTCCAGCTTGATTTAAAAGCAATAACCAAAGCAGCAATTGCAGATGCAATATTTTGAAAGAGCAAACCAAGTGCATCTCCTACTAGATTTCTTATTGATGCTGTATCTGCAGAAAGCCTTGCACCAATTGCACCACTAGTGTGTTCAGCCTCATCAAACCAGCTTACTTCCATGTGAACAACTTTCTCAAAGCACAATAGTCTGATCCTTCTTATCAACTTACACCCCGCAACAGCAAAGAAGTATGATTTTAAGGGGTTGACCAACAGGCATGTCAATGAAAGAAATAAATACATCAGTGCCCAAAAATTTGCGTCCTTACGGAGTAAATGTGCTGGCTCATTAAATGATTTGAGTGCACCAGAAAGCAGGAAGCCTAACATGGGAAATACTACACCATTGACTGCAGCAGCAATGCTACCAAGTAAAACTGCAGGAAACTCTGGCTTGTTTAGGTAAGCTAGGCGGCGAAGTGAAACTTCTGGAGGTGGTTTTGATGCTCTTGATGCTGGTTTGCAAGGTTCTGGAGGTTCTCGTTCTTGGACACTGATTCTTGTGGGGAGACCAAATGGAAGTGAGAAGGAATGGCGGCTACTGTTTCCAACTCCAGATGTTCTTTCACTTAGGTACCTTCCAGACTCTATAACTATTTCTGGCCTTTCTGAATCATTCAGAACAATTTGTTCTGAGGCCATGCTAATTTCTTGTAATCTTATAAGCTGGCAATATGCTCCATCAAGATCTTTGATTAGCTCAGAGTGTGTACCTTTTCAAGTGGGAGCAATTTAACAGGTTTAGTTAACTATCAATAGTCAAGTCTTTATGAAGGAAAGTACATTCTAATATCTGTGTTTTACCTTTTTCAACAATCTTTCCTTTTTGTATAACAGAAATCATGTCAGCATTCCTTATAGTACTCAAGCGATGTGCAACAATCATTGTAGTTCTGTTGATCATGACCCTGTCCAATGCCTCTTGCACTATTTTTTCAGATTCTGCATCAAGAGCACTTGTGGCTTCATCTAGAAGTAGAATTCTTGGGTCCTTCAAAATTGCTCTAGCTATGGCAACTCTCTGCTTTTGACCCCCAGATAGCTGAGTTCCATGTTTTCCCACCTGTGTGTCTAGTCCCTATATACACACACACATAAAACACAAAATTCTGGCTTTTAAAAATTTCAGAAGGAAACGAAAAGAAAGTCAGGCAAAATGTAAAAGGATTTCAAACCTGTGGTAGTTTATCTATGAATTTGGCAGCATTGGCAAGTTCAGCAGCAGCCTTTATTTCTTCATCAGTAGCACCATCTTTTCCGTAGGCAATGTTATCTCTTATGCTAGAAGCAAACAAGATGGGTTCCTGGCTGACGAGGCCTATTTTCTGTCTGATCCATCTAAGTTGGAACTCTTTTATATTAATACCATCAATTAGGACTTCACCTGCCTGAGGGTCATAAAATCTCTCAATCAAACTAATAACTGTAGATTTCCCACTTCCACTTTCTCCTACCAAGGCTGCAGTTGTGCCTTTCAGTATAGAGAGGGAGAATCCACTGAATATTTGCTCATCTGGTCTTGCAGGGTAACTAAAATAGACATCCTTAAATTCTATATCCCCTTGAATGTCATCTAGTTTTCTTCCATTAGTGTCATAAGCATCTATATCTGGCTTCCTTTCTATTGCCTCAAACATCTTAAAAGCTGCAGCTTGTCCAGCAGCAAATGCAGTCATGTATAGAGATGCTTGTCCTAAAAAGCTGGGAAAAAAATAGAGGGATCAACGAAGAAAATGGCTAATCTTTGGGAGAACAAAGAAAGAGAAGAAGAAAAGAGAAATGAAGAAAAGGGAGCAAAGCAAAGGATTGCATACATTGATCCTATGAAGATGCAAAACATTATATTCATAACATCTCCTCCAGTATATCCCTTCTCTACTACCATTTTCCCACCAAACCATACAGCCAATGCATAGGTGCTGAAAGCAATAAATGATACCACACCTATTCCTATCCCAGAAACCCAGCCCTCTTGCACACCAGCCTTATAAGCTTTCATTAAGGACTTGTCATAGCTGGCTATAGCTTGCTTCTCCCCAGTGAATGATGCTACCTGTAATTTTATTGGCATTCAAGATCATACTTACATGAATAAAAGAAAAAACTAAGTATCGCTTATGCTAATTGTTCATACAGTTCTAATTGAGCCAATTGTCTGCTCAACTACATTTGCTGCAACTGAATATGAAGTTTGTCCATGAGATGCTAGTTTTGCTATAATAATGCTCATGACAGCACCAGCAAATACGAGTGGTGGAATAGAAGATATCAAGACAAGCGTGAGAAGCCAACCATTGACAAATGCAACAATAAAGCCTCCTAAAAATCCTGCTATTAGTTGTATGAATTTTCCAACCTGCATTAAAACAATAAAAACAAGAAAAAAGGTAATGCAAAAACTCCATTTCAATATTAAAGTTGAAAACTTGATAAATGGTAGGTACACCTTTACCTTTTCACCCATGGCATCTTGAATAAGAACAGTGTCACCTGACATCCTACCAATGATTTCTCCAGTCTGTATGTCTTTATCAAAAAAGCCAATATCTTGCCTTAAAATGGTTTTGAGGTACAGAGTTCTTATGCGCGCTGCCTGTCTTTCCCCAGTAATAATCCAGCAAGTTATCTCTGGCAAAATGGAAAATCTAAATAGTTTAGTTTCCTATTAGCTATAGAGTTTAATCTTAACAAAGATGCCTCATCAACTTACGCAGAAATGACGCAACACAGGAACCAAGAGCCAAATATACAAAGTCTAGAGACACCTGAAGATAGAATATAGCAAGTAATTAATGTTGAATAAATCTGGTCATGAAAATGTTAATAAGCAGTGAACTCAAAGAAAAAGAATCACCAATAAGTTTTTTTGAATCCAAAGTTCTAGTCTAACAGATAACTAATAGAATAATTCAAGTTGAGTAAGTTGAGTACCTTTGAAACGTCGTGAACAACTTCTTTGATATCTGCATTTTGTCCAAATGCATTCACAAGATTTCCAAAGCTCAAATTTATTAGGGGCATACAGACCCCATTTGCAGCAGCGCCGATTGTTCCAATAAACATCAACAGATAATCCAGGGGATCAGCAAATGAAAAAAGCTTATAGAATGGTACTGTCTTTTCCCCTTTCTTCTGACTCTTGTCAGAATCTTGCTGGTTTTCTGTGTTTGCAGCGGGGTTCTGTGACAATACCCCTGGCAAATGGCTTGCTGAAGCTGATTCCTCCTCGATGTTTACTTCTTTATCCATCTCCATGATACTTGCTATAATTTATCAAAGACTTTGTAGAACTTGAAATGGATTCACAGTTGGAATTGAGAGCAAGTAAAGAAGAATATTAAATGATTGATATGCCAACAAGTAACTGAACTTGGGATGATAACTCAAGTCCAAGATCATGATTAGGAATAACTAAGTACTTGATCATGAAACTGAATCTTTTTGAATAAGCATAAGTAAATGGAGACAACATCTTTCAAAATACAGATTGGAATTCCTTTTTGTTGTACTTCCCAAAAAATCACAAGAATATCTTCAAAAGTTCATGAGTAACTCACTCCCACTTACATTGTCACAGACGCTACAACAAAATGAAATAGAAGTAGAACAAGCTACAGAAATTAGTAAAAATTTCAAGTGGACGCAAGTAAAACTTTGAGGCACCATGAGAATTCTGCAGCTTCAAGAAATGCATTTATCCTTAACAGAACACACCATTTAAAGCAGCAGCTAGGATTCCCACCTGTTGTAATTTGATGAAGATGTTAAGACTGCTACTTCATCTGTGTGAAGATGTCACCATGACTCGACGACTTCATACAGGTACAATGTTCCCTCTATGGAGCATCTCTTCTAGAAAAATGTCGGCTGTAGGCAACTAGTCTACGCTATTGTTTATAATTGGTTCCATAATTAAATTAAAAATCCTATAGTCATATCTTCTTGTCATTTACTTCAAAACCTAAATTATTTGCAATCAAAGACCTTGGGACTGCATGATGTTTGCAGATTGTAATATTCTTCTTATAATAAAACCATCTAACTAAACAGATGCCTGGTTAGGAACTGTCTTATTAGCATTTTTCTGCAGGTATAATAAGGACATTGATTTAGTTAATATGTTTTATATTTGGACTGTACTGGTTTGAGCAATCATGTGATATTTTATAAAGAAGTGTGATTAAATTGATCATCAGCACCCAAAGAAGAGAACCTTTGGAATTACATAATGCAAAAATAAAAGAATTGCCTTGGAGCAAGGTAGGAGAAGTTGCATGTCAGCTAGTCAACATTTCCATGAAAAATATATAATTTATGCATAAGCAATGAGGCCAGCAGCCATAGGGATTGATTGATACATATAATTCACCGGAATTTTGGCTAGGTTTATCTATCTATCCATTAAAAATGAGAAAATTTTGATGTAAACTGAAATTTCGAGTCGAAGGATTAACATATATTTTTCTAAGGTAAAACAGTAGAGATTAGGTAAACTCAACATAAAGCAGAAGCTGACATGTTAGTAGAACTGGCATGATAACTATAAAACTAAAGAAGGAATCTGGCATGACAGAATTTAAGCTGAAAAAGGCTTCACTGTCAACTGTCAATTGCTTAAACCATGAGAACTCTAACAAATCTTTTACTTTCATATGCATTTGCTTCTATTGGCATTTATTGAGTGGGAAAAGACATATATCAATTTTCATATGGTAGCATAACATAACCTAACGCATTTACGGTAGGTTTATGGTAGGTTTGCACATGAAGGGCGTATTGATTGGGAAAATTTCACATAAAGTATATGAGTTAAATATAAGTAGAGTGGCTCAACCTATTGTTAATTGGTTTTAGATTAAATGCAAATCTTATGTTAAAACCCATATACTCAAAGGGGCTTATTAAGCTACGTGAGAGGACCTAACATTTATAGTGAGCTTACACATGAGAAGATTTATTGAGTGAGAAGATCTTACATAGAGTATGTAAGTTAAATACAATGAAAGTTATTTTATTTATTGTCAATTGATTTTAGATTGAATACAAAACCTGTGTTAAAACTCACATTTCAATTTTCAAAGCATGATTTACAAGTAACAATTTTGATTAAGTAATATCTGTGGCATGACACCACCTTCTTATTGGTCTAGTAGCATGACACCCTTTTATCTGTTAGTTTAAATGAAATGATCTCGATCCTTTTTAAATAAAATTTTGAGTTTGACTCTTATAAATAAAAAAATAATGATCTAATACAACTTAACTTTAAATTAATCCAAAGTTAACCTAACTTTTAAATATCATTAGCTCTAATATAAAAAAATATATATCTATGGCATGACTAAGAAAGCCTGTCAACCTTTTCTAAGGAATAATAGATTAGGCTTTTCTTCTTTGTTTAAGAGGCTGGTCCCGAAGCAGCATGATTATAATACACACACAGCACAATTATAAACTCAGAATGCTTATATGCTCCTAACATCCGCCATAGATTTTCCTCTCAAGTGATTGGTAACCCGACAAACGACAACATTGGAATTGCCATTTTCTTGTGTTTTCTTTGAAGCCAAACAACTACTACCAGGAAATCTGCAGCGGCTTTCATTCTTACAACCAGGATACACATATTTGACAATGAAACATTTAGGATAACAGCAATGTCTTTTCTGGTGCATTAGTTGAGCAGTTAACCACTGAAAAGAGAAGCATTATGAAATAATAGTATTAAACTAATAAGGGTTGTACTAATCATTATAGAATATTTAACTCTTTTTTCTTTTCCATCAAAGGAGATAGGCTGCCCTATTTTGATTAAATATAATAATGGAGTAAAATTATAATTCTAGCTGCCAATCCAAATTATCTATTAAAAATAAATAATATTCTTTTATTTTGTCAAGTAAGCTCAAATTGACAAACTCTATTATGAAAACCATGAGATGACTTTTTTACGCTTAGTCATCAATTAATTCAACAACGATTTAATCAAGGGTTTGTCTAACCATTTCACATTTTAATATTTAATCTTTATAAAAAATTACAAAGGCTAATTTTATTTTTATCACTAATTTTACATGCATATTTTTAATTAAATAATTGGTAAAATTAAAATTATTTTTTAATTTTTGAATACAAATTAATTTAAAAAATATAATAAATACATTTTTTTTGAATATTTTAGTCATTGGGCCGACTCAAATCGTTGTCCTTGGAAAGCGGGATATGAACCTTACAAAAGTGGTAAGAGTCACTTGAACCACAAGTTCAAAAAAATATAATAAATACATATTTAAGGTTACTTGTTAAAATTAAATACTATTTATTTAGAACAAAAATAAATAATAAAGGCTGTAAAACGTCAGTTTATGCCCGCACCGTTAGATGTTGGGTTTATTTAAAAAATTAAAAAGTGAAGGATTAATTTATTGATAAATGGTAGTGAAGTGGCTAGATTGAGAATTTCGTTATGAAGGAAATTTTTTAATTCCCTGAAACAGAAACTTTTTTTTTTATGGCGAGGCCCTGAGCAGGGTCCAGTATGATCGCTCATTCAAAGGCCCACACGTATTTGTAAAAGTCCAGCCCAATTCTCTCCACCATATTTGTAAAAGCAAGCCTAGCCCACAGTCTAAAATTTAGGATTATAAAAAAGGGGCAATTTAGGATTCGAAGTCTGGAACACCTCTTCCTTAACGCGGAAGCACCATGACCACTTGAACAAGGCTACAAGACACGCAAAACTGTTTACAAAAAATCCTTTTAAATATTATTAATTTCTGTCTTGCTTGAAGGTTTGCAGCAGGCTCGTACCGGCACCGGCACGGTTCCAACTTCAATCATTGGTTTCCTCTACGGAATTAGAATCAGATAGGTAGAAGAAAAATGGTGGCGACGGTGCAGGTGTTCGGAGGCCTAACGGTTCATGATCGGCAGATTTTGGCGGCTGTCAACACCGCTGCCTCCAGCCTATCATTCGTCGGGTCTGGGTTTATAGTGCTCTGCTACTGTCTCTTCAAGGAACTTCGCAAGTTCTCCTTCAAGCTCGTCTTCTTCCTCGCCCTCTCCGTACGTCTTGTTCCTTGATTTCCCTTCTTGATGACGATAAATTATGTGTTTTTTCTGCTACCTCAGAGCTCTGGCAAACGAATAACATAATTTAACGCTTTGATCTAATGATTATGCAGTGTTTAACTTTTGCTTAGATGGTTTAATGGGTTCCGATATTTGGAGTAGATTGGTAGCTGCATAAGATGAGATCAGATCTCATAGACGTTAGAATTCAATAATTTTAGCTCAGATTCTATTTTGTCAGTTCAAGGAAACTTTTTTTTTTCTTTTTGGATTATTTCTCTACCAAAATTCTTCAAAGTTGAAGTCTTTTGCTGTAAAAATGATGATTCAGTTTTGACGATTCCTATTTCTCTATCACATTCTAAATTAATGATTTAATTCCTGCAGGACATGCTCTTCAGTTTCTTTAACATGGTGGGGTATGCTTCTTATTTACCCTAATGCAATCAGTTTCCCTGTGTTATCTGTGTTGAATATGGTTTTTGAAGTAAGTCTTAGATGAAAGGATAATTTTTGTTACTGATTCAGGGATCCATCCAAAGGCTTCTTTTGTTATGCCCAAGGGTATACCACACATTTCTTCTGTGTTGCTTCTTTCTTGTGGACTACAACAATAGCTTTTACCCTTCATCGAACTGTTGTTGAACACAAGACAGATGTTGAAGATTTGGAGGCTTTGTTTCACTTGTATGTTTGGGGTATGGATATATTCTTCTGACTTTATTTCTTAAAATTTTGAATAAATGGTAGCAAACATACGAACTGTGCTTGTTGTCTTCTTTATGCTTGTTTTCTTACTGTTGGGTTTGCTTGTGTGATTTTAATTTTCTTTTAATTGTGTTCATCAAGACTGCTAAGTTATACAAGGGAGTTCAATTACTTCTTGCAGGAACTTCACTTGTTATGACTATCATACGTTCAATTGGTAATCACCATTCACATGTTGGTGCATTGTGTTGGGCACAAAGTGGTCGTACTGGAAAGGCAAGTTGAAACTAGCCTTTCGTGGCTGATAGTCCATTTCAATCTAGTTATCTTGGATGGCTCTGTATTTTTCAATTCTATTCGGAAACCAGTTTACTTTCACAATATTTCACATATTATTTTTAGTTTTCTTTTTCATTTTTGTTGCAGCCCTTGACAGTTGACAATGCATATATATATATATATATTTATCACATAAATAATAGTGAACTTAAACAATTGTTTACCTAGACCTCTCAATGTGAAGTGTTATTATTATAGGTTTCTGGAATTTCTTGCATCTGAGATATTAATATGTTTCTGCAGGCAGTTCACTTTATAACATTTTATGTGCCACTCTGGGGTGCAATTCTTTACAATGGTTTCACATACTTTCAAGTGATTCGCATGTTGAACAATGCCAGACGTGTATGTATACAACCATCCATGGTTATCTTCAGTAAATTAAGTTTCAATTGTTTAATTGTTGAGGCAAACACTTGCATTTTGGAAATTTCAGATGGCGGTTGGAATTTCAGGCCGTTCATATGAATTTGATGCAAGGGCAGACATGAAGGTAAGCCCCATTGCATGAGAAAAGAGATCATAAGGTTAGCTATGTAAGATTCATAAATAGCCAAACTGGAAATAATGCATACTAAAACGTTGATTAGGCTGTTTTTCTTGTACTTATTGGTGACCACAACAGCTCTCAAGAAATCATGCCTTTATATTCTCTACTTCTACTGTTCCTCCATAGAATTGAATGAAGCTGGGATCCTCTTTACTTTTTTGGCCACTGATTTCCATTTTTCACAGGCTTTGAACCGGTGGGGTTACTACCCACTTATTCTTATAGGATCCTGGGCCTTTGGCACAATCAATCGTATTCATGATTTTATTGAGCCAGGTCATAAAATCTTTTGGCTAACGCTGCTTGACGTCGGAACAGCTGCCCTTATGGTAATTTACATTGAAGTGGATGTCTTCTCTTGTAATTGTTTTTCCTTCCATTGAAGTTCTATCTTCCAATTTTCAAAGTTCAAATACACAGAATCTGTGCCTCTGTTATTCTGTCTAATGTAGTGCAAAGATCATGGCTTTTCTTTATGGGGCAGTTTCTGTTCTTTTGGGAGCCTAAGTAAAACAAGTTATCTTTATGCTTTAGTAGATGCTCAGAGAAAAAAAAATTGTAGGTCTGTTGTAGGTTTTTTAAGGAGGAGGGATTAGGGGTTTCCCATTTCTGCCCCTTGCATACACCCATATGCCTAATACATGGTTTGGTAAGCTGGTAAGTAGGTCAATACTTTTCCCTAGAAAAGAAGGCAGGCCAATACTTGATATAAACTTTGATGATGTAATCCTTAAGGATAAGAAGAGAAGTTATCTTCTACTAGTTCCGTAAATGGGATTGGTTCAGTCATTGTTAAAATCATGACATGCAGGTTCATGGATATTTTGCCTCAGGAACTGATTTTGTTATCACTGTTATTTTCTTGTAGGGCCTTTTCAATTCAATCGCATATGGGTTGAACTCTTCAGTGCGGCGGGCAACTTACGAAAGACTGGAACTGTAAGTCCAATCCTAGTTCTCTTTTATCTACAAAAATTACCTATCAGTTGGTAGGAAGTAGGTACTAATCCCATCATCTTCAAGAAAGCATGATGTGCATCATCCTAATCCCATAGATAGTTTTCCTTTTTTGTTTGTCTTTTATGTTCCTGTGTCATTGATATTGTTGCAAATGCCATTGTTGGTCAAGTGAAATATATGGTCTTTGCATCCTTTACCAGGTTTTTGCCCGAGAGACTTCGAAGATGGTTCCCTAACAGTTCAAGGTACAGAAACCAAGAACAAGAGAATGAACTGGTCTCTCTGAAAATTCAAGATCAACAATAGCAGCAACCAGGACATTGTCTCTTCTTCCATCAGAAGACTTAGCTCTTTGCAATTTTTTGTTTCAATTTTTTCATTAAAATGTAGAGGATTTGAAGTTCAAAACGAAGAGAGCGGCTGCTCCTACCACTCTGATCAAGGCCACAGCAAATCAAATTTCACAAGATTGCCTTGCTATGTAAGTAGCTCTCCTGGAATCAGAATCTGGAATAGTGATTTCAGCAGTAGCAGAAGATGATTGTGTACATCATAGATCTAGGTTCATTTGCTGTTAATATTATTATTAATTGAAAATTATTATTATTGTTTTTTTTTTTTTTTTGAGTTGTGATTTTTTCTGTATATGATTTTACTCCTTTATTATCAATAGCACGAAATTGTTCTTTGAATTTGATCTTTTGTACACTCTTCCAACGTATGGAATGGCAATATAAAAAAATGCAATGTAAAAAATAGGCACGAAAATATGTTTTAAAAAAAATAAATTTATATTATTTTTTATTACTTTTTAATATGAGAAAAAAATGTAATGCTACATGGGCAAAAATAAAAATTATATAGTTGGGAAACAGAGCGAGAATGAATAAGCTCCCATGGGGGATGCCCTTGAGTATGCAGTGCAAGTCCTTGTTTCAGCAAAGACCGTTGCTTGGTATCCCCAAAGCATAAAGAATTCATGATAGAACTTCGTTTCTGTGAGACAAACCTTTATGCCTCTTGTATGTTCAGGAGAAGACACAAAGCAACCTGCAGAATTTATGAGCCCTCCAATCCCCTTTCAAGTTCCAACTCAACATTTCAATAGAAGGGAAGCTTACATTTGCTAACAGTGTGATGCCTACCAAAGCTAGTTGGGGGGCAACCTGAGGGAAGCCTTAGGTGGTCTTCATTATATTTGACAGCCACAAGACACAGGCCATGAGGTGGGGCAGACAAGGCAAACTTGGCCAGCTCTTTCCTATCACGGGTTGCCAAAATCTTTGGAACAATGTCAGGAGGAACTGCTTCCCTTCCAATTTGAAGCAACAAAGCAACCTGCAGAGTTTATGATTTGATAAATTGTAACGTCTATCTAAAACTAATTCTGATAGACTAGCTTATGTTGATTTCTACATGGAAAACAGAATTTATCTGAAAATCATATTCATTAACATTAATTCAATGAAACATGATAAGATATCAGCTATATTACTGAAACCTACAACTTTTACCATGAAATAGTTTATTGACTAACCATGTTCCGAACTTGTCTATACAAAAAACCTGAACCTTCTACTTCCAGCTGCAAAAGAGCTCCCTGAATAACAGCAAACTTGCAGAATCATAACCTGATTTTTCACTTATAGTTTGCACTTAGTCTGATTTTACAGGAAAGATAAAAAGGTCACTTGATGCTAGAAAGCTAATGAGATACTGAGAGGGAACAAAATGGTAGGTAAAAGAAAATAAGTTGAGACTAGACCAATGTTGCAAGGAAACTAATCTTCATGATAAAAAAAAACTACCATTTCAATGATATCAAAACGGAATATAGTCTTCACTGGATCCAGTACTCGATCATTACGTGACACGTTAACAAAAGCTGAGAAATCATGCCTTCCGATACAATGTTTTGCAGCTTCTCTCATCACAGCAGTGTTGAGTTTATAGACACTATGGTAAGCATAGTGGCGCTGAAATGGATCCATGATGGTGTCATTATAAATCTTATAGTGGTAAACCTTGCCCTTTGCTGAAAACCGAGCATGAAATTCAGGCACTGCAGCGCTGATATCTCTAACCCGGATATCAGAAGGAAGAAGACCATTTAGAGCTGCATGAATGCTTTCCAAGCTATCATAATTGAAAGGTGTAACAAAGTGTGCCACCTGAAATCTAAGTGACTATAATGTTTGTTATCAATTGACATATGCTTGTTGAATGCACAGACAAGTAAGAAATCCAGACCTGACCCCAGGCATGAACTCCTGCGTCTGTCCGCCCCGCACCAACAAAACAAAGATCCTCCCTTCCAAGCTTTGTTATCCGAATTAAAGCATTCTCTACAAGACATTGTATGGTTGGAGGAGAAAGTTGAAATTGCCAACCTGAACCAAACTTCAAAGTCTTAAGAAAAAGGGGTCAAAGCTAACAACTTTTTCTCTAATTGCATAAAAAACACATTCCTATGCAAGTGGGATTGTAAGGTTGCTTTACTACTGCAATTAACAGCTTTCTCTGTTTGCCACAGTTGTAGCCTTTTAGGAGACCGGGAAAATTCCTAGAAAAACTCAAATTTTGAAGCAAATGGACATGACATTGGTCTGTATCATGTTCTTACCGAGGAACAAAAGTAAGAATAAGACAAGGGAAAGGAAAAGCAAAAAACCTGCATAGTGGGTGCCGTCATAAGCGATAACCAAACGCCACTTATACTGGGGAACTGCAACTGTAGGCTTCACCTTGTGGATAGGATTCTCCACCGCGCCACCGCCATTAGTCGCACTCTGCTAAAGAAACAACATACAATCATCATCGGTTATCCCATCATGTATAAAGTGTTACAGAGCAGATGGAACAAGAGAGTTACAGAGCAGCCGTTGGCGGAATAGAGACGCCCAGTTGGAAATGGAGGAGAAGAAAACCCTAAAACTGCAAAACCCATCTGAGAGCTCAATTCAGAATCGCCGTTTTCCTCCTCCTAATTCATGCTCGACTGCAAAGAACAGCAGTGCTTGAGCTTCGCAACCGCCATTAATAGCAACAATCCTCCCCGTTACAAAATGGGTCGGGTCCGCCCGATTTTCCATTTTCCATTTCATTACATTCCCTAAACGATGCCGTCTCCTACCTTCATCTATAATGTGTTCTTCTGTATGCTTTCAGTTTATTTTTGGCCTTCTTTATGTACCTGAATTTCAGTCATCAACTTTCAATAATTTTATAGATGAATCCTTTAATTATTTTGTTTTTATTTAAACAATCAAGATGTCCATTAAAAGCTCTACCTTTAACCTTAACGATTTTAGTGCATTATATGAAATAATCTCAACTTTCAATTATTAATTAGTCAACATCATATGATTGAAAAAAAAATTTTACCCTTAAAACTTAGGATTTACTTACTAAAATTGTTGTTTTTTTATACATTTATTTATTTTATTTTTGGTAACTAAATCTATAGGAATCTGTTGCATATTCATAAACAATATATACCATATATGTATTAGATTACTATATATTGTATTAATTGTCAAAAATAAAAGAAATAAAAACAAAAAAAGACTAAATAGGTAGTTAGTCATTTCTTTTTCTTTTTTTTTTTTTAAATTTATTTCTTCTTTATGGTTTAATTTGACAAATTTACAATAAAGTAGTAGCTAAATAGTAAAAACTGAGGCCATGACATTGATGAAAACTTATATTTTGTTAAATTTTGAGTCCTAATCTGGTTTATTGTTTGATTTTATAAATTTTTTGTTTGAGAAATTAATTTTCTAGTATTTTTATTTATTAATTGATAAAAACTAATTTAAGGACTTGCTTTCTAACATAAAAAGTAAAAGGACTAAATTCGGGTTTTCACATTGAGAGGAGAACTGCGGCTCGTCAAAAGTAATAAAGCCAAAGGGCCAAGTAACAAAGGGTCAAAGTAGCGATACGGTGCGGTTCGGATTTTGCTCCGCTCCCCCGGATGCGAGTGGAAACCCCGGTGCCCAACCCATCTCCGCCCGCTCCTTCTCTCCTTGCGGCTCAGCTCAAATTTTTCCGGTTTTCCTTTCGCGCTTCCTGAAAAAGGTACCGCCTTTCAGTTGAAATTCTTTTGTTTTCGTCTATATCGAGGTACCGTTTTTGTTGTTAGGGTTTCTGAATCATATTCGAGAAATGCGATTGATTTTCTCGTTGTCTAGGTCGAGATCCGTGTTGGGATTTTTTTTGTTCTGTTTTGACATGCGGAAAGTTCTGATCTTGTGTTTTGCTGTCGAATTTTTTCTTATGCCGTTTTATTGTGTGTATGTGATTGAATTTGTTTTGTGGGTAAACTGTAGGCCATGGCTTCAAAGAAAGTTATAGCAATATGTCAGTCAGGGGGTGAGTTTGTCACCAATAAAGATGGGTCATTGTCTTATAATGGTGGTGAGGCTTATGCAATAGACATTGATGAACAAACCAAGTTGGCTGATTTCAAGTCTGAAGTAGCGGAGATGTTCAATTGTAGCAAGAATAAGAAGAACATGGTTATCAAGTACTTCCTCCCTAGCAATAAAAAGACGCCTATCACCATCTCTAAGGACAAGGACTTGCAGCGGATGATTAACTTTGTTGGTGATTCTGGGACCGTGGATGTTTACATCATGTCAGAGGAAGCTGCTGCTCCTCGAAACACCCCCAACAAGCCTGCTAGCAGGTAGTTACTTCACTCTCTAGTGTTTTTCTTAGATTATATTAGGTTTGAGCCACAGTTATAGCAGCTTGTTCCATGCAACAGAGGTAAAGTCTTACACTCAGCCATTTTGTAAAACCAACTTTGGCTTCATATTTCTCAGTTATAAACATGGTCAAGGTGCTTTATGTACCAAGTTGTGCATTCTGATGGCTGTGGTTTCTCCGTATGATCAAGTATGTTTTGCTAATGATAGGTTGTAAATCTTATTGAACATTTATTTTGCAGGTCAAGCAGAACAGCTGTGCCAAAAGCTGTCAATCCTGTCATTGCACCTGTTGATGTTCCCATGGCTAATGGTAGTGACCAGGGTGATGTAGACTTACGGAATGAAACACCTATAATCTGCACTCCAATTAATAATCCTGATGAGAAGCAGCCTAATGCTGCACAACAGTGGGAGAACTCCATCACTGGCGTTGACCAAAGGTTTGGTAGCATTAATGAATTCCGAGAAGCTCTTCATAAGTACTCAATTGCACATGGGTTTGCATATAAATTTAAGAAAAATGACAGTCGTCGTGTGACTGTCATCTGCAAGGCTCAAGGTTGTCCTTGGCGGATATATGCATCAAGACTGGCAACTACTCAATTAGTCAGTATCAAGAAAATGAACTCAAAGCATACGTGTGAAGGAGCTGCTGCAAAATCTGGACATCGGGCAACAAGGGGTTGGGTGGGAAGTATTATAAAGGAGAAACTGAAAACTACCCCTAACTACAAGCCCAAAGATATTGCAGAAGACATCAAGCGAGAATATGGGGTTCAACTGAATTATTCACAAGCAAGGCGGGCAAAAAAGATTGCTAGGGAGCAGCTTCAGGACTCCTTCAAAGATGCATATGCTCTGTTACCATTTTTCTGTGAGAAGATAAAGGAGACTAATCCTGGCAGTATTGCAACATTTTCCACAAAGGAAGATACAAGCTTCCATCGTCTATTTGTCTCATTCCATGCCTCGATATCTGGATTCCAACAAGGTTGCCGACCCCTCCTTTTCCTTGACAGTGTTCCTGTGAACTCTAAATACCAAGGGAATTTGTTGTCTGCAACTGCTGCAGATGCTGAGGATGGTATCTTTCCTGTAGCATTTGGTGTGGTAGATGCTGAGAATGAAGACAACTGGCGCTGGTTTCTGCAGGAACTCAAATCTGCAGTATCTTTATCAACTGAAATTACGTTTATTGCAGATTTTCAGCATGGTATAAAGGAGGCATTGGCTGAGGTATTTGATAAAAGCTACCACAGCTATTGTTTGCGTCGTCTTGCTGAGAAACTTATTAGGGAGTTGAAAGGGCAGTTTTCTCATGAAGCAAGGCGGTTATTGGTCAATGACTTTTATTCTGCTGCTCATGCACTCACACTTGACGGGTTTCAGCTCGCAACTGAGAACATAAAAGCTATTTCTTCTGATTCTTACAATTGGGTCTTACAAAGCAAACCAGAGCACTGGGCAAATGCATTCTTTGGGGGAAGAAGGTATAATCACACAACGTCAAACTTTGGGCAATCATTCTATAGTTGGGTGTCAGAGGCAGGGGAGTTGCCTATTACACAGATGATTGACGTACTACGAGGTAAATTGATGGAGTCTATCTACAAACGCAGAATAGATGCTGGTCAATGGACAACAAAGTTGACTCCATCAAATGAGGAAAAGTTGCAGAGGGAAGTGGCAGTAGCGCGCTCATTTCAGGTGTTACTTACACAGGGTAACGTATTTGAAGTTCGTGGAGAATCTGTTGATGTTGTTGACATTGATCATTGGGACTGTAGCTGTAAGGGGTGGCAAGTAACTGGTTTGCCATGCTGCCATGCTATTGCTGTTTTTGAATGCATTGGTAAGAGCCCATATGATTTCTGCTCCAGATACTTAACAACCGAGAGTTACCGCTTAACATATGCAGAATCAATTTACCCTGTCCCAAATGTCGACCTACCAGACCTAGATGAATCAGCTGAATCAGTAGTAGTTGTGACTCCGCCACCAGCTAAGTCCCAGCAAGGTCGGGCAAAGGTAAAGCCGACTGAGACCATAGACATGACAAAGCTGAAGCTCCAATGTAGCAAGTGCAAGGGCCTTGGCCATAACAAAAGGACTTGCAAAGAACCCTAGTGAAGGTGTTGGAAGTGTAAGTAGGTTCTAGTCATCAGTGTTTTCCAGTTGTATAACTTCGGTACTTTTGGTTGACTATTTAGGCTTGTGCATGTGTGTTAGGTCTTCTCCGTGCGGTATGGAGGGTTTTACTTGAGCGCCACTGCTGCTTTTTTCTTAATGTTTATTACCTTACCTCTATGCATGGAATTTAATTGGTAGTTTGTAATTTTAAATTTCTGTTTGCTAGCATGTCCTAGGATTTACATAAAACTTTGAGCAGGTTCTTTATTCTGCTTCCCCATTATAAAAGGTTAAATGTTTTCTCGATGGTGAAGGAGGGAAACAAGGACATGAAGTTGTCCAATTTTGCAATTGAGGGCACTAATCTTTGTCTTTTAAAGAAGACAAAGACAATATCCCTAAACCATGCAAAGTCAATCTTGAATCTTTATATCATTATGAACATTTGGTGTGGAACATACTGACACACCTAGCATCCAGTACAGAATTGATGGCTTGTGTAATATTATTAGTGGTATTTTTCCTTCTCTAAAGAAGTTCTTTTAAAAACAAAGTTGTCAATTTAATAAAGTAAATTTTCTTTCTGATGAAATGAATATCTTTTAACAAATCATTGAAAAGTTAGAAAAGAATAACGTAATGTGGTGACTATCATAAAGCATATTCCTATTTTCCAACATATTTAGAACTTTTATTGAGGGGTTTTCTTGACAGAAACTCATTAAGGACTTCATTGTTAAATTGTAAAAATTTTAAGGACTATATTGGGGTTTTGTCTGAGAGGAGGACTGCAGGTCGCCCAAGACAATAACTCAAAGGTCCTATAAAAGTAACTGAAGGTCTAAGTCAAAAGGATCAACGGCTCCAGAACCCTAAAGTACATGAAAGCAATCAAGTGGTGGATATACGTTACAATAACCGTTGAAGCATCCAAATACGGCCCGAACTGCTTCGGCTTTCGGTTGTCGAGTGGAAGCGCCAGCCGCAAACAACCTTCGCCTCCTCCTCACGCTCAGATTAAATATTCTGCGCTTCTGTTTCGCGCCCTCTGAGAAAAGGTACCATCTTTCCCTTCGGAGTTCTTCTTTTCTTCAATCTCGATATACCCTTTTCCCTGTTAGGGTTTCTGAATCATATTCGAGAAACGCCATTGTTTTTCTCCTTCTGTGGATGGAGATCCGAGTATTCTGATTCACGTTCTTTTGGGGCGCAGAAAGTTCTGTTTTTTTTTTTTTCCCTTTAATTTTCTTATGCTGTTTTAGTATCACTGATTGTATTTGTTATCTGGGTGGTGGGGGTAGGCCATGGCTGCAATGAAGGTCATAGCAATATGTCAGTCAGGGGGTCAGTTTGCCACCAATGGAGATGGATCATTGTCGTATAAAGGTGGCGAGGCATATGCAATAGACATTAATGAACAAACAAATTTGAGTGATTTTAAGTCCGAGGTAGCAGAGATGTTTAATTGTAGTAAGGATAACATGCTTCTTAAGTACTTCCTACCTGGCAACAAAATGACACTTATCACCATCTCTAAGGAAAAGGATTTGCAGAGGATGATTAATTTTGTTGGTGACTCTGGCACTGTAGATGTGTTCATCATGTCAGAGGAAGCTGCTGCCCAAAACATGTCCGTCATGCCTGCTAGCAGGTAGTTCCTCTACCGTTTGCCATATTTCTTAGGTTGCGTTAAGTTTGAGCTGATGTTTTTGCAGCCAAGCTTTCACCATGGTACAGAGGTCAAGTCTTTTACACTCATTCATTATTTCATTATATAAAACCAAGTTACTCTTTTAATTCCTCAGTTATGAACATGGTCAATATGCCGGTGTCTCCCATGCTATGGATTTTGATGGTCTGTTGTTGTTTTATCTATGATCAAGTGCGTTTGAATCCTAATTTTGTCTTGGTTGAATTCATGTTGGATGGTTAATAATGCAGGTCTAGCAGAACAACTTTGTCAGAAGATGATGATCCTATCATTGCTCCTGTTGATATTCCCATTGAAATGGCCAATGTCATTGACCAGGGTGATATAGACATGCAAAATGAAACCCCTATAACCTGCACTCCAATTAATATCCAGGAGGAGAAGCTGCTTAAAGCTGCAGACCATTGGCAGAACACCATAACTGGTGTTGACCAAAGGTTTGGTAGTTTTAATGAATTCCGAGAAGCTCTTCATAGATACTCAATTGCACATGGGTTTGCATACAGATATAAGAAAAATGACAGTCATCGTGTGACTGTCAAATGCAAGGCTCAAGGTTGTCCCTGGCGGATATATGCATCAAGAGTGGCAACTACTCAATTAATCTATATCAAGAAAATGAACTCAAAACATACATGTGAAGGAGCTGCTGTTAAAGCTGGGTATCGGTCCACAAGGGGTTGGGTTGGAAGTATTATAAAGGAGAAACTGAAAACTTCTCCAAACTATAAGCCAAAAGATATTGCAGAAGACATCATGCGAGAATATGGGATTCAACTGAATTATTCTCAAGCATGGCGGGCAAAAGAGATTGCTCGGGAGCAGCTTCAGGGGTCCTTCAAAGAGGCATATGCTCTGATACCATTTTTCTGTGAGAAGATAAAGGAGACAAATCCTGGAAGTATGGCCACGTTTACCACAAATGATGACTCAAGCTTCCATCGTCTATTTGTCTCATTTCATGCCTCAATAACTGGTTTCCTACAGGGTTGCCGACCTCTCCTTTTCCTTGACAGCACTCCTTTAAACTCTAAATACCAAGGGAATTTGTTGTCTGCAACTGCTGCAGATGCTGATGATGGTATTTTTCCAGTAGCATTTGCTGTGGTAGATGCTGAGGATGAAGACAATTGGCACTGGTTTTTGCAGGAGCTGAAAGCAGCAGCACCTATGACTGATCAAATTACATTTGTTGCAGATATTCAGAATGGTTTAAAGAAAGCATTGGCTGAGGTATTTGATAAGTGTTACCACAGCTATTGTTTACGTCATCTAGCTGAGAAACTTAATAGAGAGTTGAAAGGGCAGTTTTCTCATGAAGCACGGCGGTTCTTGATCAATGACTTCTATTCTGCCGCTCAGGCAGTCAGACTTGAAGGTTTTCAACAAGCTGTTGAAAACATAAAAGGTATTGCTTCTGATGCTTACAACTGGGTTGTACAAAGTGAACCAGAGCACTGGGCAACTGCATTCTTTGGGGGAGCAAGGTACAATCACACAACCTCAAACTTTGGGCAGCCATTCTATAGTTGGGTATCAGAAGCAAGTGAGTTGCCCATAACACAAATGATTGACATCCTGCGGGGTAAAATGATGGAGTCTATCTACAAAAATAGAATAGACTCAAATCAATGGATGACAAAGTTAACACCATCTAATGAGGAAAAATTGCAGAAGGAAATTGCAGTAGCACGCTCGCTTCAGGTATTACTTACGGACGATAACGTATTTGAAGTTCGTGGGGAATCTGTTGAGGCTGTTAATATTGATAATTGGGACTGTAGCTGCAAGGGGTGGCAACTAACTGGTTTACCTTGCTGCCATGCTATTGCTGTCTTGGATTGCATGGGTAGAAGCCCATATGATTACTGCTCCAGATACTTCACAACTGAGAGTTACCACTTAACATATGCTGAATCAATTTACCCTGTCCCAAGTGTAGACCTCTCAGACCAGGATGAATCAGCTCGGTTAACAGTAACTGTAACTCCTCCGCCAACTAAGCGTCCACCAGGTCGGCCAAAGGCAAAGCCAATTGAATCCATAGACATGATGAAGCGGCAGCTGCAATGTAGCAAGTGCAAGGGCCTTGGCCATAACAAGAAGACTTGCAAAGAATCCTAGTGAATATGTTGGGATAGGGTAAGTGTCTTTACTGCTTGTCAGTTGTGTGAATTTTGATGCTCTTGCTTGTGTGTGTGTATGTCAGGTTTGTGTCATGCCTATTGGATTTTACATGAGCAATGTTGTTATTCATTTTAATGTTAATTACCACTATCCATGGGATTTTGTGGTTAGATTTGCATTAAAGTTATGATAGCATGTCCTTAGATTTACCTATGACTCTGAGCACGGTGCTTTGTTAGGCTTCTCCTTGGGCAGTTAAATAATATTAATTTATTAATCAATGTTGATACAATAATTTGACATCCTCTGGCACTTAGAGGAACCCTATGATTGATTAGTCGATTTTCTTTCTTTATTTCCTCTTTCTTTCTGGACTACAAGATGTTAAACAAGGTACAGTGTGAAATGTAACCAGAAAAAGAATCAGTGAATGATTTTGCCAATGAGAACTGTGGCGAAATTTGGGGACCTTTCCATAAGAAGACTAGATATATTCATCCCTTCTCCCGCATGCCTGTTCACTTTCTGAATTTTAGTTCTAAATTGAAGAGTTGATATGTGCTTGTCATTTTGTAAAAGGTGTTCATAGTGCCTGGAATTGCAGACATAATGTAGTTCGAGTTCATATTGGCATTGCGATCTTCTTCGATATTATAAGCAGCATATGCCTTACATCTCAATAGCATTTCCTTTGTGATAGTCTGATGTACCCATTTGAAATAATGTTGGATTTAAGTTGATCTTATATTTCTCGCAGAGGTTGCTTGCACTTTTAATATATGCATATGAAGTTGCTGTTTTAACTGCAACATTCTTCATTCAAAAACAGGATTGACATTGAAGATCAGCAATCCAAGTTGTTGTTAATTGTTAACGCATCTGACAACTGAAGAAGTTTGGGAAAGATGTCGGTCCTTGACACACCATTCTCTTCAGGAAGTATGGTTAGGTTTTTTGTTTCCTTCATTTTGGGAACCAAATTCAACGGAAGACTGGTGAGGTCTATCATGTTTCAGAAGTTGCTTCTGGCGTTGGTGCTCATTATGCAGCAGCCAAACTTCTCATGCCTTCATAAATTGTAATAGAAAATGTAAACTACATGCTCAACTGGCGTACGCAGCATCACGTAGTCAGTCAACTTCGTATTCTTACAAACTTAGGTGGTTTTTTTGGTACAATTAAGGTGTAACTCTTTTTGCAGGATACTAAATATGTTATTTTTTGGTAGTATCAGCATTAAAAATGCTTAGGAGAGAACTGCTTTTTTACTTTATTTTTGTTTCTGGAAATACATAAATAAATAAAAAGACTGCTTCTTAGCAAAGCTAAACAAGTACTAAGAGAAATGCTGAGCCTTCCAACTTGAATGCTGCCCATGTAGAAAGGATTATTGGTGCCCCCAACAATTGAGGAGTTTATGTGCCATTTTGTGGTTTGAGGGCTTAAGGGTCGCCTCCTTGAAAGTTGAAGGCTTAACAATGCAATAGGATAATCCGGTTCATGTCGGTCCAAGTAGGATGTAGTCCATGTTCCGAGGTTGACACGTGGAATACCAACTCACGACACGTGGCAACCTCATGGAGTTACAGTTTGCCACGTTGCATGGCATGCTGTCATTCCTTGGTCGTTTTCTCTCTCCCCTGTTTCCCTTCAAAACTCACCTCATTACCTCCACTTCCCCACCATTCAAACTCTTCTATATATTCCAAGAACTGCAACCCAAAAACAATCCACACTCCAAAATTCCAGAACGAATTCCTGTTTGATCCATAATTATGGCTTCGAAGCAACTTTCTTGGGTATTTATTTTGTTGGTGATGGCAGTGCTTGTGGCAGCATGTGTGAGGGGTTCAAGTGTAGGTCACATGCCAGCGAACAAAGAGGAAGTTGTAGATTTCAGGGAGACTAAGGAAAAGACAGAACGAGCACAGGACAAGGCGTC